GTTGCCTCTGCTAGCTGCCTCCATTTCTTTATCTGAGACTGGTTAGAGTGAGAAAACAGAGGCAGGATTCGCTGGCAAAGTAAGCCCTTTCTCAAAGTGGAGCCCCACGAGGTGCTTCCTCCTCATGCTTCCATGTGTGTTTCAAAATGGAAACACCAGTAAGAGCTTTTCACAGGAGCCAGGTTAGAGATGTTCCTCTCCGGGGGGTAGGGATGCGGGGGCAGTATGAAGAGGAAAACGTTCAAAGAAACAGTTGAAATTTATTATTTTTTTCTTTGGTTGAAATGTTGAATTCTTACTTTTTAGAGTTACCATTCCAAGAATTGAATGTTTATCCTTAAGATTCAATACTGTTCCTTGGAAGTTGGATTTTCCTTCATAATAGACTTTTATGACAATATGAAAATATTAGAGACGTAGAGTTTGGTGGGGGAGGGGCAGTGGTGGCACATAGAAAGAAATCAAGATCTCATAATCTGGAAATTCTAGGACGTCTTCAGAATCTGCTAGTCCAGATCATCCCACAGAATTGAATCAATGCAGGCCCCACATGGGGGCCTCATAAATCCATTGGGAGTAAAATTGAATTTAGTTGCACAAGTAGCGTAGCTCCTTCATTTTCAAATTGTGCTCCCAAACTCCTGCATGACCCCCTCTTTCTCTGTATATTCTAGGAGCAACTGAATTGGTTGAAGTATTAACACAAGTGGTTGAAAATTGTTCTCCAGGGACATAACAAATTGAAATAAATCCAGAACAATTTGTCAACACAATTAGAAAAAAAAAAAAACTCCCCTGTCCTTGAGCCCTAATTCCTACTAGTTAGCTGTATAATCTTGGTCAAGTCACTTCAACTTTATGGGCCTCAGTTTCCTGATTTATAAAATTAAATATTGAACTAATTCATTTTCAAATGTCTTTGATTTCCAATGTTTGGTGATTGTGGACCCTAGTCCCAAATCAAGTGTCTTTTTGATTGCCAATATTTGGCTCTCCTAGGGAAGAGTTGAGCATCCCTCACTTGATGGAAGATGTTCTAACTTGATGCTTTCTCAGCCCAATTCTTTGCTGTAACATAGCCCCCCCCCCAAAAAAAAAAGTTATCAAATAGACTCAGACCCATGGTGACCCCTGTTTATCAGGTAGAAATGTGCTCCATGGGGTTTTCAAAGGATGATATTTTCAGAAGCAGATTGCCAGACTTTTGTCCTGAGGCGTCTCCAGGTGGACGCCCACCTTTCAGGTAGCAGTTGAGCCCCTTAACTCTTTGTCCGCTCAGCAACTATAACCCCCTTTGCTTTTTTTCTAGATCCTCGGGGGACTCACTTATGGGAATTCATCCGTGACATCCTCCTGAACCCAGACAAGAATCCAGGGTTAATCAAGTGGGAAGACCGAGCCGAGGGAATCTTCAGGTTCTTGAAATCAGAGGCTGTGGCTCAATTATGGGGGAAAAAGAAAAATAACAGCAGCATGACTTATGAAAAACTCAGCCGTGCTATGAGGTAAGGCGTTTCCTGTTTCTAAAACTGATGAGATGAGACCACATGGCCTGAACTGAACCATACCTTAAGCAATTTCCTTTGTTGCAGATATTACTACAAAAGAGAAATTCTGGAACGTGTGGATGGAAGAAGACTGGTATATAAATTTGGAAAGAATGCGCGTGGATGGAGAGAAAATGAAAACTGAAGGTGCCAACACTTTGGACATAACCAAAACACACACCTGATAATAAAAAACGAAGCAAGCCTGGACATAAATATTTCAAAGATGGCTTTTCTCTGATATTTATGTACCATAAGGAAAAAAAAATCTACTTCTAACGGGAAGAAGGAACACTACAGTTGATAAAATTATTTTGTTACTTTGAAGTATGTCCTATATGGGGAACAAACGTACACAGTTTTCTGTGAAATATGATGTCGTATGAGGTGGTGATTTTTTCTTGCCTCTATCGTGAAGTTCTTTTCCACTGCAAGAATAACTGGGTTTGTGACCTTGTACTTCTTGCTAAGAGAAAGAGAAAAAAAAAAAAAAAAAAATCAGAGGGCATTAACTGTTTTTATATGCAAAATGATTTAGAATAAGATGATGTATCCTTGGCACATAAGCATCCACATGGCTTTGTCAAGAGAGGTGGGCATGGTTGCTAGGATAAGCTCCAGGATCTTGAGTTATGATCATAAACCTGAAGGATGCTGACTGCCGGGAAGTGAAACCTGCCCTCTAGGAGCCAGTGAGTAGAGAATGGTAACTTCTGAAATCCAGGGTGGACTGTAATCTCAGTGTAATCATGTGACTTGCAATGTTTAAATCAGTGAGAGGAATAATGGTGGGGGGCTTTATACTCATTATGAAATGATTTATCTGAGGCAAGGCTCTCCATCCCTGCCTTGGATGGTTAGTGAAAAAACTTCACTTGCCACCTCTGCTCACATCTAATTAAGGAGTCCAGAGGGTACAGTGGTTAAGTGCTTGACTGCTAACCAAAAGGTCAGTGGTTCAAACCCACCAGATGTTCCATGGGAGAAAAATGTGGCAGTCTACTTCTGTAAAGGTTTACAGCCTTGGGAACCCCGTGGTGCAGTTCTACTCTGTACTGTAGGGTTACTGTGAGTTAGAATCAACTTGACAGCAACAGGTTTTTGTTTTTGTTTTTTTCCAGCCTTGGTTGTTTTTGTCTTGGCTGCTTAAAAGTTAAGTGGGAAAATGGAGGTAATGGTGTGGAAGTGACAGATGAGTTGGTTAGTCCATCTCTTTAGCTCAGTGTTTCTCAATCAGTACTTTTGACATTTTGGGGCCGGATAATTCTTTATGTGAGTCTGTCTTGTGCACTGCAGGATGTTTAGCAGTATCCCTGACCTCCATCCACTAGATGCCAGTAACACCCTGTCCCCCAGCTGTAACAACCGAAACCGTCTTCAGATATTGCCAAATGTCCCCTGATGAAAATCACTGAGTTAGCCAGTCTGGATGAAAGATGGAGGTGTATTCTCAGACCAAAAAGATTTGTAACATGTTTTAGTTCCTACAGTGAAGCAAAAGCAAGGCTTCACTGTCAACATGTTTTTAATTTTTAAAATGTTAGAGATAGTGGCTTGAAATATCTAGAGAGACTTCTTTTCAGAACTACAGATGAGAACCAAAGTCAGATAAATTAACCATAGCCATGCAGGATGAACTACAGGAGAAGACATTTTCACTGGGTTTAAAAAACAGAGCCAAAATTTTATTGCAGAAGGAAGAAATGGGAGCACACTGACGGAATCTTCGCAAGAATGTATGCGTGTGTCTGTGTGAGTTCTGGGTAAATCCACTTTTAAGGTTGTAATTCTTATAATCTTTCCTCTTTTAGATGATTTTTCTCCTGTCTCATCTGAACTTGTCTCAAAGTGAATCGTTCTTTTGCCTAGACTTGCATCCAAAGGAATGTTAGAATAAAACAAAGGGGGTGGGGAGAGAAAAGAGAAAGGAAAAATAGAAAAGGACAATAGAAAGTTTGGGAGCTACTGTCAGTCAGAAGGTTGGGGCCGTTCTGGCGCATCTGGAAAGTCGGCATTGGGCCAAGCAATCTATAGGAAGGTGAACCTGTAGACACTTTAAGAATGGATTTGAAAATCCAGATCTCTTTCACAGTTTTTCTTTCTGGCTCCCTGGTGGCCTTGGCTTTCTTCTCCACCCTGCTGCTTTACCTTGAGCAACAATATGGGGAAGAAGACATGCACCAAGAGGAGGGAGAACCTACTGGTTCTTCATCAATTAATAGAGCACACTCTACAATGCCTTACCCAGCAGAGCTGCACAAATCATATTTGAAGATTGCAAAATGTTTGTAATGTATCCAGAAGTGAAAAGAAGTAAGAACTGGTTCTAGTTTTAAAGAGGAGCAGGCAGGTGATCTGGCAGCATCAGCCTATTGAGAGAAATGACTCTCCAAAGGTACAATCAAGTCTGTCCGTTTTCATTTCCGCCTGGCTCCATCACCTCCACAAAGGAGATGCTTGGAATTGTCAAGTAACAGCTACTGTGGGAGCTGAGAAAAATCATAATGAACAGCAAAGATCTTGACTATGCAAACAAGGCATTTCTGCATAAACACACATCCTCTTTCTAAGCAAAGGTTGACCTTTGCATTTGTTGAGCCTTCCCAGCACTTGGCTATCCCTCACACAGAATGTGCTAAATACACAGATATTTGAACTTAGTATAACAAGTGGATATTTGTAAGTGTGTGTGTGTGTGTGTGTGTGTGTGTGTGTCTGAATTGTGTGAAGTTCCTGGGGGCATCTCCCACTTCATTCTCTGCTGTTCCTTCTCTGACTTTGCTCCTGTGCATCACCTAAGGTGGCTAGATCTTTCTCCAAGTTCACTCTTTCCCAAACCTGTAAGTTTCCCACATCCCCCAAACTTGGCCTAGCTCTTTCTTCAGCCTCTTCATTCAAGAGCAATCACTGCTAGTGGTAAGTGAATCTGGGGAGCCCCAACCGGAATAGTTCTGCAGATAATGATCAGATTGTGTTATTTGTTGGAAGTGACGGTTTCTTGGCACCTAGTGCCTGCTTAAATACGGTGGAGTATTAAGTTCTCAGCATACCACTCTATTGTCTTGGCTTGAGTTTGATGCATCTGCTATGTGTTGTTCGTGACTTGGAGAACTCAAGACCATCGAGCCCTGCCAAACGGGTGTGAACAGAGTGCTTTCTACCATGGTGTTGAAAGGGAGAGCGAAGTCCTAGAGACAAGGCAGCATGAGTGAAGCCCTCACCTTCTTTCGGGGATGCGGCATTTCATCTGAGAATGTATACATGGTCATGAAGATGGTCTTCTCAAATGCTTATTAAGCTAAAGGCCAGGGCTCTTATTTGCAGTTTTCATGGAAACTTGAAGCAGGAAATATATTGCTAAGACTTTACCATACCTAGATCATCTGAGGCTCCTAAATATTTGAGCAAGGCCTGGCTCCCAGAGACATATCCTACAGCTTCTTGAATGTGCATTCTGAGCATGCAGACCCAGGTTATGTTTTCTTTTGAGCCCACTGGTCCTTTCTCAAAAGCTCTTGCCTTGATAGACTGTAAGCTCTTTGAGGGCAGGGACTGTGTCTTGTCACTACTATTTCCCACTACCAAGTATGAGACAGGTACTCAATCAATACTTGTTGAGTTAATGTCTTCTGGACGACTCTCTGATTGGAAGCCATATTAATAATTGGGACATGAATCATTTCTACATTGGAATAAGAGCACAAGGACCATACCCTGAAGCACATGTTAGCTATTAGATGAACTTTTTACTGTGAGACCTTTACTTTGCCTTCCTGCCTGCGTTGAAACGAAACCAAAACTGACCATTTGGTTCCACAAGTCCATCTATGTTGGATGAGAATTCTATTGCCTTATTTGGAACTGTGAGACTGACCTGGTATAAGAAGCCAGTAATGAACCTTAGACTGTTTTAACCAATGAAGATGATAAATGTGTTTATATGATGTAAATTGCTATTTAAATGTAAAGCACCTCTATGTTTGAGTATTTTGGGGTTTTTTTTTTTTTTCTTTTTGAAAGATACTGAGGAATCTTTTGATAAGCTTAGTAATGCATGTTAGATTTTAGCAATTGTCTTATTTTTCAAATGCATAAAATATAGGAAAAGGTAAACTAGAAGAGGGAAAGGCAATTATATCATTCTTCTATACTTAAAACAAGCATCTGTTGAGTGTATACTATGTGCAAAGCATGGAACTATATATGTGAGGAGCTTGTGTAATTAGATAGGGTATAATCGATACTTGATGTGTACCTACTGGATGGATACTTACTGTATGAATAGAACAGTACGGCTGAATTATCCTCAGCATTGACTCTCAGGATTTACTTTCTGGAATAAGAGAATGTTTTAAAAACCTGTTGAGACTGTGTTTTACAAACCACTAAAAGGTACAGGCCTTCACAAGTTTAGCTAAATTGGGATGAATCTTTCTATAGCTATCTGCATAATTCTTGATTTTCTTCCCATCTGACTTCTAGGTTGGCAATTTGTGGAAAACAACCCTACTATTTTTTTAAAATCAGAAATCTTGTCATTTTAAACTATGTTAAATTCAAACTGAGAATTTATGTTTTGTGAGAGAACTATATTTTTTCAAAATATGGTTTCTTGTTTGATGAGTCCCAGAAAACACTAATAAAAACTACATAGACCTGCCTATAAATGTGTCTTTCGTTCTTCAACAAACTGTCTGGAGCTAGACTGAGAGGAAACACATCCAGTCTACAGCAACAGAATATAAGCAGTTTCTGCATTCATTACTCACTAAGGCTCTGTTGAGCACCTACTGTGTACCAAGCACTGTCTTAGGCATTGAATTATTGGCAGAGAAAATAAAGAGACAAAAATCTGTGCTGCAACCAGGGGTGGGAGGGGAACACTGCTACATAGGTAGAGACAAGTATTGATTGGGGTGAAGGGAAGGGCAATGCACCAAATGTGAGTGATCAACAGAGTGGCATTGAGGAAGAAGAAGACATAGGTACATGGGAGATACAGACAACAAAGATGAACCTTTTGCCCACACAGTAGTGCACTGTCAGTGAAGGCAAACATGGATAGATGGGTGGATAGATGGGTGGAGAGGCTGAATGATCAGGTGTGTCTAGGCAGCGGGGAGTGTGCCCATGACCATGTGTAGG